AAAAACTGGATTTTCATTCAAATTTTTGGTTTTCCTTAATTTTCCGAAATATTTAAAAAATAAAAAAAATTTTAATTTTGATCTCTCTAAAATACATATTAAATCCAATTTTTTATCTTAAGCCACCTTTAAGATTGTAAATCATATTCATAACCTTGCTCAGAATTTAAAAATATATCATGTGAATTTAATTGCTTCACGTATAACCAAACACGCTATATAAATGAGCTAAATTATTATTGTTATAAATCCTAGTTTTGTTGAATATTTTTTAAAAACAATTTTGACTTTAGGTTGGAATTTAATAAAATACAACACCTAAAATGTTAACATATAACCCATAGCTAGTAAACATTGGTACAAATTGCTAATAAATATAGTAATACTTTAACTCCCTAATTATACAAATAAATAATATTTTATTAAGTACCATACCTTTGAATGTTTCCTTCTTCGGATCCATTATTCTATCGTCAACTTGGTATATTTATTCAAATAAAACTCGTTCCTTAGTAGGACAATTCCAAATTGGCTCATTATGTTATACTGACATATATTGTGGCGATTTTTCAAATACTACTAATTCTTCTCCAAATAGCCATGATATACAAATCAACAGTTTATGTTTTTCTGTAAAAATATAAGTAAAAAGAACATCAGTTAATTAAAACAAAAAGTAACTAAAAATAAACATACATCAGGTTCATAAGTAATAATAAATATACACGGTAAAATACTTTGAATCAATAAGTCGAAGTCAATATCGCTGATTTGTGGTGCAACCAGGATTAATTTATATAAGAGTTGGTGGAGGAAATCTGAATTAAAAAAGTTACGCTTACCTATCTGAAACTTTAACATAAGTTATGCAACCAAAATACTATATATTAAGTAGAATTTGTAAAAAACATTTCAAATTTTGTAGAGGAATGGCAAATTATCAAATTATCAATCCCAACTCCTAACCACCTCTCTCATCGGCGTTACTAATTCTAATAACAAAATTTCACTAAAATCTAAAGAAATAATACAGTAAAAATGAAGTTTAAAAATAAAATTTAAATCACTAAATAAAATTGTTGAAAACGGTCGAGGTGAAAAACAAAAAAAAGTTCGCTAACTATGAAATTTACTACTTTTTACAGTGTAAATATTTGATTATACTATAATATTCAAGAAAACCAAAACACCGATAAAAGTATGTTGGTACTATTCCAGTGCATTAGGCATGAAAAATCTCTAGTTGAAAACAATAAAGAATAGGACAATTATAAAATATACACGAAACACGTAACAATAAAAACGGATAGGTTTATGCTGAACGCACAACACAAATACAAATAATACGTGAAAAATAAACTTGTCGTCAAATTTTTTTTATAGTGTATAAGTACCTACATAAATCACCAGATATGCCATCGATAAGTGAAGATTTAAAGAAAGTAAGCAAACACATCATAAATAATCTAAGTATAAACAGTGACGTATTTTGGTTTTTTAGCTTATTCAGGATTACACTTAAAATAATAAAACTATCAAATCGGTATAAAATAAAAACTACTGTTCAAAATTCGAATAGTTTTGGTTGCCTAATGCCTATGTTAAGTTGAACAAAAATATAATTATCTGGCTCTTGATGGAACTTCAGGTACTGAGCATCAAAATTAATTTTGATACCACATCAAAACTATCATACTTTTCAAGCTACATAATTTATCTATATATAGATGATTAAAGAAACAATATACAGTAGTGAAGTCGGGTGTTTCGAGAAGCACCTCTACGACCTTCAACAATTGAGTAGTGCATAAACAATTTCTAATTAGTATAATGTGTGTAGGTACATATTCTATGTAAAACCAAATCTTTAATTTCGTTAAATATCAAATCACAGTAGTTAAATCCACCATCAACACGTAAAACGTATATCATATACTCGTATATTATTTATATGTACCTAATTCTGCGGCATATTATATCCTAAGACTTTAATCAGTATTTTTTTTCATTTAAAAAAATCTATACTCGATACCACATTAGTCAAATTACATAGACAAACCTCATTCGATATCATTGGCCATTGCTTGATATTATAATATTGTATGGCATGAAAAACCTCAAGATTATTTATCGATCGGTTCCGAAGGACGATGATTTTTATAATGTCAACATTTTTTTTTATCGTACATGACAAAGTGATAATCGCGGAAACACGAATATTATTACTATTATTAGTATTGTTTTTAATCTGTGATAAATTGTCACTGACAACGATTCATAGGTATATACAGTTAAAGTTAGTCTCTAATATAATAAAATGATCAATAGATAGGTATCTATATACTTATTGATTAAAATCATGGGATACAGATAACTATTTATTTAACTAAGAAATATTTCATTAAAATATTTTTTGATTCGCGAGAATCACCAGATTTTTGTTTTTATAAATATAATTAATCGAAAATCGATAGGAAAAAAGGGGATTTAGTATTTAATACAACACTAAACTATCAATACGTCGGTAAAAATCTCCGATATACAAATAGACCATATTTCCATTCAAACCATACGATACAGTGAATTGGTTACTCACATATCGCAATCTTGATACAAAATCGTGGCGAACAACTCAAAAAACAGTTTTGAGAAAATTCAATTTTAAAATTTTATCTGCTCACAAATAGTTTAAGTTTTTTAAAATTTTGCACTTATCTATGTTACCTAAAGCTTATTATTTTTTATATTACTTAATTAAATCTAAATCAGACACAGAAAAATGAGGTTATGGCAGTTAAGCAAAAGGAATCAGAATAACAAAACTACCACATTTAATTTTGTGTCAATTTTCCATTTCAAATCAAATATTTTATACGCCACTATATGAAACGAGGCAGTTTTATTTTTCTTAAGAATTTAATGACACAATTCAAATTGAAGCAGTTATAATTTTTTATATTACCCAATAAAACAAACATGTAACTATGCAAAAGTAAAAATATGGCAATATTATTTTTCTTTTACTGCAAAAATTAATAAATTCAATACAGACACAAATATATTACGGATGCGTTAATTGTTCTACAAATTGTGGCAATATAGAATTTTGTAGAGACAAAATAATAGTTATTGAACTGTACCCTCAGCTCAAAACATCAAAACTTTAAGTTGTGGGAGTTTTATACAAAGAATGTGATATGCTTTTTTGCCTAAAAATGTTTTAGTAAAAAAAAAAAAAAATTAAAAATTTATAAACAGTGGTAAACATTCTATCTGCGAATTTTAATTTAATTTACACATTTATAGTTAATAAGATCAATAATTTATATTAGTTGGCTAATTACTTAATGGACGATGTAAATATTATATTCTACCATATTGCTCGTAAATAAAGTTTTAATCAATTAAAACGGTTTTATGTAATGATCAAGTGTACAATTTATTCTTATTTATTTTTGAATATAGATATTTAGTATAATAATTTATTTGAATCATATATGTTCATCGAACTTCAATTTAAAATATTAAAATCATAATAGGCGTGAGACATTAATAAATTATCCATTAATAATTTAATCATGAATTATTCTTACATAAAACTTTAACAATCATTAAAAAAAAAAATGATTCTTGGTTACTATTTAACATTCAATACTAAAATACAAATACACAACAGTTTAAAAATGACTTGAAGATAAATAGCAACTTTTTTTTATTTTATACATCAAGTAAGCTCGTTTTTTTTTTTTTTTTTTTGCTTAATTTAATTATAATTTTTATTTATAAAATAAATTAGTGATCATATTTACTACATATTTTAATTTTATGTTTAAGGAACCTCTATACAATTTGGTCGGGTTTATATATTTTTCTCATTTCATGCAATATTTTATAAATTTGAGTACAATAGGTATTGAATATATTAATAATTTACAAATAAATTATATGCCAAAAACGACTTTTGAAAATTCAAAAATACAATAAAATAAAATAGGAAGTTCAATCATCAAAAAGAATCCTCAATAGGAAAATACTTGATATTATAGTTTCAACTTAACCTTACTTATTAACTATAGTGGCTTAAATTGAACTTATTTAATATATATATATACACGCAAATAAAAATAATGTTCTTACCTAAATTATTTACAGGCGGTTGTTCGATGCAATGTGATCAAATATTAGTCTTACAAATTACATTAAATTAATAATTTTAGACTAATTACGTATGTTTCAAAGAATTTTAATACAAATTTACTTTTAAAAATTTTTAGGTACCTAATGAAATAAAGTTGTGTTTGAAATTTTAGTAGGTACCACAGAGTTACATTAGTGACTTAAATCTTATATAATACTTAACAGACTGGTAATATAACTATTTTAACAATTAATTCTAACTTTAGTACTTACTCAGAGTTATTAACATTTTTTTATGATAAAAACAGAAAAAAAATTTCTTAGATAATAATATTTGAACTAATTAAATTTCAACAAGTTTGACATTTTTTTTCTCTTAATGTTGTATTTAACTGAATAGATCAACATTAACAGTCAATGTCCACTTTCACTTATTTCTCTTAATGTGATCGACTTTTTTGTTAGGAATATATGATGATATATATTAGAAAACATTGTATTTTAAGACTGTGATAAATTTGTTTAAAACAAAATATAGATAATAAATGCAAAAATGTTATTGCAGAGTTTTAAAAATAAACTGTATACAGAAAAAATATTTTTATTTAGAAAAACAGTTCTAATTTTTTTTAAATTTAAATGAATCTTATGTTTTAAAACATAATAAATTGTAGTGTAAATTTTATTAAGTAAATATGAAGAAAGAAAGAAAATGAGCAATCTTAAATTATCACAGTTTGTTAAAAAGTAAATAAAAATCACAGTTTGTTATAAAAAACAATTTTTAAATAATCTGTTGGTTTTAATATTGTTTAAAATTATATAAGCTTGGAATGTTAAGCTTAGATGGAAAAATAAAACTTAAATTAATAAATATCATCAACGTTTTCCCTTTTTTTTCTTATCCTTTTTTTTATCATGCTTCTTTTTCTTTTTTCTTCGACTATTGTGGACAAAATCTGTTTCTTGATCCTCTGGTTCAGTTATAGCAGGTTGTACAGTCTCACTCAAATTACAAGTTGTGGAAATATTGTTATTAGTAGAATCGATGAGTGAAATATTATTAGCAGTAGTATCAGCTGGAGAAATATTATTAACTGTAGTATCAGCTGTGGAAATTTTATTAGCTTTAATATCAGCTGTATTAATACTAGAATTTTTAACAGTTTTATAATTAGTATTTGCAGTACTTGTGACTGTAATAGTGTCGGTAGTTTTAGTATTTGTAATTGAAGTAGTACTGTTGTACCTATGGCGGTTTGAGATCAACATTAAGTTATGAGCAGCATTAACCGCTTCTAAACTATCATCTAACAAAGCATGCTCAGGTACAGCAGTAGCAATAGTTTCAACCAAGGATGGTATGCTGCAATCTGATGACGGTGAATGAGGCACAGAGTTAATTGATAAACTTGGAGAACAAAATGGCACAGAATTATCTGATGGCATATTTACAGGTGAGCTATAGTATGAATTTGTCGAAGAATTTGGAAACTGAGCATTAGGAACTTGAAGATATGTTTGAGGAAATTCTGTATACATTTGTCCATCAGAATAATAACGAGACATATGATTATGTTTTGAACCTTTATCATTTAAAGAAGAACAAGTATCCAGAGAGATCCCATGTGATGTTGTAGGAAAATTATTTAAAATGGGTTGATGAGAAGAACTGGTTAGATTTCCAATTGATGATTGATGTGATGTACTAGGTGAATTCTCTACAGCAGCTTGATGTGATGTATTTGATAAATTTTCATGAACATATTTTAAAGACTGATTAGGTAAATTCAGGTTTATTGATTGATATGAAGGACTATGTGAATTCTTTACAAAATATCTATTTATTTCATTAGGAAAATGTTCTTCATCAAACTGATGTGAAGTAGCTAATAAGTTTTGATTAGGTGGCTGGTACGATGAACTGGATAATTCTTCCAAAACATGTTTTGGTATAACTTTATTAGGTACTTGTAAATATTGATAATAATGAAGAATTAAGTCTTTGTTAAAATATTTATGCCCAATATCAAGTTTTTCTTTACATTCAGGATTCAATGATTTATTATTATCATTAGCTGTATCTGAATAACTTTCGCATGCATTTTGTAAATTTTGTAAATTGTTTTTTACATCTTTATTTAATGGAAAAATAATTGTGAAAGCATATACAAAATGTTTTATATGTCTTTCCATATCCTCTATCATCTGAGAAATAGACTGTTTTTCAACATCTTCTGAAGTAAAACGATGTGCCAAATGTTTTTTCCAACTCAATGTTATTAGTGTATTTGTAGGCTGTTCATTTTCACAATTATCTTCTTCAATACTTGGCCTTTTTCCTTCAACATATGTATATAACATATCTTGATTTTGATTTAATTTAGAATCAAAATCACCACAAATTTCACACAGGCACCGTTTAGGTAACTGTACTAATTCAGGTACACTAGGCCATGTTCTTGGGTTTGAAGTTAATAACTGTTTATACTTATACTGTATATTAAAACGAAAGTCATCAAATGGTACAGTGAACTCATGCCGCAGCATTTCAGCATTGGAAGGTATAACACGGAAATGATGTCTGTTGGTACATTTTGAATACATGCATAAAAATAACTTACCACAATTGAATAAGTAGTTAGCTGCTTCAAAAGCATCAATGCTATATGATATGCTCGACTCTTTACTTTGACTTGATATTTTGGTATTTCTATACATTTCTCGATGCTCAGTTGGTTCAATTCTCAAATTACTTTCAAAATTTGGAATTGCTCGAGATTGAATTTGTGTGTTTTCATCAATGGAATCAGATCCAGATTGAATGGTAGGTGAAAGATGATCTGGTGCAATGTAATTAGGTAAGTCTTGGAACTGTTGGTTGGGCTGAATTGAAGTGTTGTTGTTTATTCTTTCATTAAATGACAAAGTATTGCATTGGTTTGGAATTTCATTTGGTGACAATTTTTGATTTAATTCATCATCAGTGTATTTATATAAAACATTTGAATTTCTTTTGTAATCCTGACTTTGAAAAGATTTTGGAAGTACTCCGTGTGAAGAAGTTTGACTTTTGTTTTTATTTAAAGGCCATTTATAATGCACTTTACAATTTTTACTAGACTGTAGCATTAAATGTGTCATATTGATTATTGACTGTTCTTCTTTTTGATTTGGGTCTTCCAACAAACTTGATCCTAGCATCTGATCATAACTTGAATATTGTAACCCATTGTGTGGTGATATGCATTCTGGATTTTTATTTTGTAGTAAAAGAGGATTTTCGTATCTAACAGATGTGTTACTGTCAGATCTTGGGTATTTGTATAGAAGTCCATTGTTTATAATTGATGAATTTTGATTAAGAACTCCATCATAGCCATTTATTAGTGTTTGTTTTATATTTGGATCATTATCAGTTTGTTGTAACATAGGATGAATATATTTATCATTTGAACACATGTTTACACAACTTCTCTGCCTATTCTTAAAATGAATTAAATTGGGATCTTCTATATTTCCATGATTTATCATATCTATATCTGATGAAACACGGAAATCAGCAATTGGACTGTAATATACTTGTGGAGGACTTTTATTTCCTAAAAACACCTTTTGTACATGTGCTTCATTCAAATTAATCGGCATTACAGACTGTGTATTCAGATTAATTGGTACTGAAATCATTTCTGTTGGATCTGTATATATTTTTAATTTTTGCTTTTGATGGTGGTTAGATGTATCAGATGGATTTTTAATAGTAGACCAATTACCACACTTTTCAAAATTATTAATTGTATTAATAGATTTTAAGTCAGTTGATATTAGACTAGACATTGATAAATTATTTGCGCACGATTTAATATCTTTGGGTTCAGCACTGTTAATTCTTAAGTCCATTGAATCAACATCACTAAATTCATCCGAAACAACTACATCAATAACATCATGTTTACCTCGTTCTATAATATCAGTTGGTCTAGATTTATTCATTGCAAAATTATAAGACTGTTCTATAATAGATTTTGTCTTCAACTCATTAAAACACACGTTCATTGTACTATTGTGATAAATGCTACTACTCGAATCATTTAATTCATGTGCTACATCTTTTGGAGACACAGTAACAGGAATAGGTTTAACAGAAGCTGCCAAAGGTATTCGATTTACATCATACAAAGTACCATATGCTGAATTTGAAACTGAACTTTCACTAGGAGACAAAGCAGCTGTATATGAATCGTCAGGAAATATTCTTGGTTCAATTCGATTGTAAGAACATGGCCTTGACATAACTGGAGTTTCCAACTGCATATTATTTACATGTTCAACTTCACTATTTTGATTAGTAACACGACTGGTGTTAATGTTAATTGAATTACATAAACCATTCAATTGTTGTAATGAAGACTGAGAATGATCACAGTCAATATCATTATGATCATTATGTGCATGTACCAATGATATATCAGGAACCCATGAACTTTTATTCATAGGGATATCAGTTGAGTTAATAGAAACAGGAGATAACACATTTACTACTTCCAAGTCTCGTGTATTTGAATTGATGGTATTTTCAACATAAGGATGTTCTACATGAGATAATTTCTGTTCCATAGGCAAAGCATAAATTTGAGTATTTTCATTTTCATTGATAGATCGTCTGGATGAAATTAATTTAGATATTATTTCTTTGGACTTTCTTATAAATGAACTTTCAGCCTTTGGACTATTGTTACCTTCAGTATCTGAACTTGTTTCAATTTCCATTTGCTCAGAATTATCAACCATTGGTTTAGATTCTGGGGAATATGGATCAGAATGAGATAACTTTATAGGCCACTGAATGTCACTCGAAGGGGAAGCAGTATCATCCTGATCACTACTTAGATCAATAATTTTAGAAGTACAATTTCTTAGGATTTCGTCTTTGTCACTGACAGTAAAATTAGTCTGTGGATGTTTCAAATTTAAGACGGCAGTTATAGACAATTCAGGATGTGATGCTTTTGTTATCCAATTATTTTCTTTGGTTAAAGATTTATTCATTAGATGAGAAACTCCATTTATGTCTTGAGAATTTTTTAGATTTTCAAGCACTGAATTATCAGTAGTGTCATGACTAATATTTTCAATTTTCAAGTTCTGACAATCAGAATCAACAATTTGGTTTGATACATTTTTTTCATGCTTAGACTTTGTTCTGCAAATTTTTTTGTTTTTACTATTTTCACTACATGATGAATATTGATTTCTTTTAGTTCCTTTGGCAAAGGAACATCCAGGTCCATAGGAGTGATGAACAGCACTTGTAATTTCAGACATGTAATTTAGTCTACTTTCATTATTAGATAATGTAGGATCAAATCTTTCTTCACTATTGTGTAATGCATGTTTTTCAGATGATTTTGATTTTTTCTCAACGATTTGAATTTCATCATCGACCTGTATTACATCATCGACTTGAATTTCATCATCGCTTGGTAGTTGTACAAGATTAATTGGAACAGAAGATCTCTCAGTTTCATCATTTTTGCTTTCAGCATTTACTTTATTCTTTGATGAATTTAAAGGATTGGTTTTTTCCATACATTTTTTATCAGAATGTTTGTTATCTTTCACCGGTAACGGAAAACCTTCTGAACTTTCTCCTAAGTGATTTAAATTGGTTAAATCATCAATGTTTGCAATAGAACTAATTTGATCGGTTTCATCATCAAGAAATTCATACTTTTCTGAGGAATAAAAATTATACTTGATTTTTCTCAACAAGCTATTACAAGAACGTGTAGTTGGAATAAGTGGTTTTAGAGTGTCATCAAAATTTTCATTCTGCAAAAAATTAAAATAAATTAAAATCACAATAGTATACAAAATTCAAGAATTAATATTTATTACTACCAATCAACACTTACATAAAGCCCTAGATTAAAATAATAAAATGTATTAATATTATTTGATTATAAAAAATTAAGTAACTTATTTCTTTGTTAATATATTGCCACAACAAGTGATATAAAATTTTGTTGCTTTTGCTAAAAAGATAAAAGTAATTATTTTTATATACCTAATAAAATATTAATTATAATTAAATTAGCCTACACTTTGTAAGTGGAAAAAAAATATTAAAAACCATCTAAAATAAAAAAAGTTTAGTTTATTTTGGTGTTTTTTAATTTGTAAATATAAAACAATATTTTATCCTTTCAATGATATGAAAATAATTAACACAAATTGAAGAAAAATAGAGTAGATAGTATTTTAACTGAAAAATCGATAATTGAATAATAATTACAGTAGAACTTTTCAAATCTGTCACCTTTGGGACTGGGGGTGTGGTCAAAACGCGAAAAAGGTCGGATTATCAGAATATACAAACATTTTTTTATTTACATATTACATACAAGATTATATCAGAAATTTATTATGTTTTACATTACTTAGAAAAAAAGTCAGTTATAGATTTTTATTTAACAAACGACATTCTAGATTTAGCTGCAATATTCCAAAATACGCACACTGATAGAAACGATATGAGAGAGGTCGGAATACTAAAGCAGACAAGCAATAAGGGAAATATTAAACTAGCAATTAATTTTATATAATATCTTCTATAAAGTAGAAAATCCAAATTGTATTTTTAAATTATATAGTATTCATATCGATAATACTATGGTCAGATCAACCGGAGCGGCGGACCAGCCGAAGGTGGATGAGAGGGGTTTTACTGTAATAAATAATAATTTTTTATTATAAATATATAATTATTAATTTCAGTTTTGATATTATACTTAAGAATTTAATAAGTATAATGTCTTAAATTATATAATATTAAAAAAATTTATTTATTTTTCAAATAATTCTTAGTATGTAATAACAATAAATAGTTTAATTATTCAAGTAACATTATAGAAATAATTACAAAAAAATAAAATACTGTCTTACCCAATTTTTCAATACTTCTTTTCCTGGAATTGCAAATAATTCTGGTCGTAATATTTTTAAATGTTCTTCAATTGGTTTAAATAATATTGGGATATCTTTTCTTGAAGCGTCCAATATATCCTAAAAGAAATAATAATTATAAAACCGATTTTTATGGGCAAGTAAATAATTGTACATACTAACAGAAAAAGTATATAAAAATAAAATTATTAACCATATCATACTATAGCCTTTTTATTTAAAATATATGTACTGAAAACTAATAGCAGTTCAAGTTTAACATTAAAAGTATTAAATATTGTTACATAAATAATAAATATCTTTCCAAGCTAAATAACTAACTTTATATTAGTGATTAAGAACTGCAGTATTCTAATACTCAAATACAATTTCATAGAATAAAGGCGTTAAAATTATTAGATTTTTAATCTACGTTTGTTTAGTTACCAATTTAACTTAACTAACAATTTTTACTGATATTATTTATAATTAATAATGCATTTGGCCTATCAAATGATCAAGAATAATTTGTCTAAATGTACAATTAAAAATATCAAACAATGATAGTATATGTTAATATTTTTTTTTTTTTTATGTTTACTAAAATAATTAATTAATTTAAAATGCAATGAATGAAAAGTAAAATTTAAAATAATTTTCATTTAGCATATAGTTAATATAAAAAAAATTATCAGGTAAACATGGCATGATTCATTTAACATAAGACAAAATTAACTATACTGTACTACATACTAAATTAAATAAGCTTATATAAGTATTTAGTGTGAACAATGGATACTATCTTTAAATAGGTTTATAACATTTAAATCAAAATTTACCTTGTAACACTCTTTGAGTGATAAATTTGCACCATACAAAATAAAAGTAACATTTTTTAAATCTCTTTGTATTGTATCTGGTGTTCCGTTTGGAGACATTGTCAATTTTGGCCAATTAGACCAATTATATTTTTCATGTTGACTCATAAAATCATATGGAACATTCAACCCTCTTAATAATAATCTTATATTGTCCAATTCCTTTCTCTTAACAGAACTAGCCATGCCCGAGGAGTGGATTATTTTTTTCCACAGTTTAAAACATAAAATATATCGCAAGTAAGTTAAAAACTTCACATTTTTAGGCATTGGATGTTCAGATAGTAACTTTCTGTAAATAACACATTTATAAATAAATTAAAAAGAAATATTGTAAATGAGTACTAATTATTAATAATAAAATACTAACTTAAAAACTGGAAGCATTGTTGATCCTAAATTAATATTAACAGAACCATAAAATACATAGTATAATTGAAATACTGAATCAAACATATAATCAAGTTTCTGATCTAAAAATAGAAAAATAAAATAAATGCATAAAAATTATATAATACATTTTATATAAATTAATGAATTAAAAAGGTTTAGGTACATTAATATTTTGTTTAATATCATACCTAAAAAAACAAATATCATCGTATTTATTTTACTTGAAGTTTTTTTGTGTGATGAGTTTCCTCTATAACGCCTACAACATAAAATAATGCAATAGGTAATTATAAATCACAAAATTTAAATTAATGATAAAATTTTAAATTTCCAAATTTTTTAAAATAGGTATTTTTAAGATTAGCAATTATTACTTATAATTTAAAATGGTCAATTATTTGATACTTTCTTTTTATTAATCAGTGTAAATAAAAAATATTATAGAAATACTAGATAATATTATATAAGCCATCAGGCACGTATACAAAATACAATTTGGGGTGGGGGGGGGGGGGGTTTACAAAATATAGTAATACAAATTGTACCACAACATAATAAAACAATTTTTTCCTCGTTACTCATTATTTTTTTAATATGACAATTATTATGCTAAGTATCTAAATTGTATGTAAGTCATTTGTTCAGAAGTAAGTTTATAAAAACAATTATAATAATAATAAATAAAACTTTAAATGTTATAAACAGAACAGACATTTATTTTATTAGTACCTATGCACATAAAATTACCTAAGTGTATTATACTATTAAGTACCGAGATAGAAGAAAAAAATCAAACAATTTATATATAATAAATTAAAAAATTACAAATTAAAGTATAAAATCTTATTTTCGTGGTAACTTAGTAAATCTATCGATAATTTCTACCACATTTAAATCAAAATTTCGGTATATGTTTAGTAATGCCAATCCAGTAAGTCTAATTTCTCTTATATTGTTTCGTAAGTACGTTTTAAGTCTTCGTAGAGTTGAGAATGATCGTTCGCAGTAACAGTTGTAACAGATGTGGTTAAAATATACCGTGCAGTATTGATTTAATAATACATAAATTAGCAATTTAATAGGGATTTTTAGTCATCGATTGAGATATAAGAAAAGATTATTGACAAAATGTGAATTTTCTAGGTATATAAAGGCTTATATCGCAATGTTCAGTTTTCACACATGCGTAATTCTCAGTAATCAGTTATCACTTCATTTGACTATAATACTAGATTATAAACTTGTATTTCGTACCCGACTAATATAAACAAAAGAAAACTAACCAATAGCTAATAATAAAAGTATTTTATAATAATAGGTATATAATTTGACTTTATTTTCAAAGAAATTTCAGGTGGGGGGGGGGGACCTGTAAGCCATAAGAGATAACCAGGTTAACCAATAACATTTGTATCACAAAATTCAAAATATTCAAAACAATTTTTTATGTTAAATATGTTTCTATATTTATATTGTTAGTTAACTTTAATTTTAAATTATTTAAAATTTATAAATCTCATAATTTATCATATCAATGGCAACTCATGAACTGTTCGAGGGGTGAGGCAGATATTTTCAAAATGTATGTGAGAAAAAAATGCTGTTAAAATATAATAATGAGTTTCAAGTTAATTTTCAAAATAATTAATTTAATATTTAATTCTAACCATTAACAACATATAAATAATTAACCATGAATAAAACATATATTATTTATATTAAATGTTAAAATAAAATTAACTATAAAAAAAAAAATCTTTTTTATACCATGTTTTATAAATTAGATCTATCCTTTTGTCTTTGAGTAATGCAAACTACATGACTTATGACAACCTCCCTATTCTTATTTCTATTAATAAAAGTTATGTCGCTTTAATAAATAACAAATGGAGAGAATGTTGACAAACTCTGAGGCCCGTATTGTTCAGCCTCATTTCATAATGAAATTCTGACTTCCCCTTTATCATGAAATATTTTATAATCGTAGGGCTGTTCAGCTTGCCTGAGGCTAAAAATTACTAGCCTCTCAGCACTCGTTGACTTTTATCGAGAATACTTGATCATTTCACGAAAATCTTTGTCGTGTTTTTTGATAATTATGACAAAATATGTATTATCATTAAAATAATATATAATAACAAAAAACTTATGTATTTTAAAATGTTTATTATATTATTGAATATAATATTCTTAAAGTCAACTATAATTATAGTATATACCTCCTTTTCCTTTACAATACTTAGGTGAGTCTGAGCCTCACTTGCCTCCCCTGACGAGCCGCCACTGTATTATATAGTTTAAAAATAAATTTACTAAAATACTTTTAGAGTAGAGGTTTTCTCTTTTAAAACATTCACACTTAATATTTTAAATACTTAAAAATATATTTTATTTCATATTCAGCATAGTTTTATTTTAAATTGGCTTAAAAAGAGAATAAAATAAAATGTAATTGATCATATAAACACTATCCATTTCTAATTTTATTGAAAATAATAGATTGTAGATTTAAAAAAAAAAAAAAATCATAAAATGAAATTTATTTTATTATTATTAATGTCAATTATACTTAATCTAATGCTCTTTGATTTAAATTGATTAATTAACAATAAAATTATGTAAAAATCATTAATCAATAAATAAAATATATTCAAAGTAAATGTAAAGGTTGTCTTACAGTTTCAAGATCTCAAAATTGAGTACTTAAGCTAGAACTTACTGAGATGACATTAGTTTCAAATCAATGTAATATGCCAACATTGAACTCATTCTATCATAATATAAAATATCCAAAGTATCCCCTTTTATCTGAAAAATAAACAATTATTATAGCCTAGTAAATAAATAATAAATACAAATAAAAATAGATTAAATAATATACATTTTTCATAATTTATGATACAGAAAAAGTAAAAATAAAATTAATTATAGTTAGTAGAGTTAATATACATAATAGTTATATATATATATATATATATATAATGAATAAATTATAATATTTAAGAGATTGACCCAACAAATATAATTTCTGTATCTTACAAACCTTAACTATAACAAATAAGTTATTAGTAATTAGTTATTTTTTTTAAATAAAATACAGACAATATTTTTAATCTTTAAGTTTGCTAATAGGTCAATTTTCTTCAGTATTAGTTAACACAAAATTTGTTCTGTTGAACACACATTTGCTATGTTACATATTTGAAATATTGAGACATCACATGTGGGTATAAAACTGAATAGCATATTATTAAAGCTTGAACTGTTTGGTACTTTCTTTATAAAATAATTTGAAAAGGGAATAGATCTAAAACTTAATATTTTATAGATATTTAAAAATGTGAAAAAAAGTTTTTTTAAATGTTTAATTACAAACTGTATATATTTTTACCATATCACTAACACATTAAGTTTCAATATCAAATAAAATATAAAAAACATACTTTGAAATAATTATTAAATTAATTACACTATGTATTTTTCAATTTTAAAAATAATTAGGTTATTTTTATTAATGAAAAAATATGTATATTTACTTTTTTTATGCGTTTATAGTATCCTCGAAAAAACATCATAGTTTGTTCTAGATAAGATTTCAAAAGAGTTGATTTATTTATTTTATTTCTGCAGTCAACCATTTCTGGCCCTATATTCCTGTTAAAAAATAGTCTTATTATAAATAAAATACATGTAGAATTACAATATATTTTTATAAATACTTAATTTACAACAAGCAAGGTTAAAAAAAATAATATATCAATTTATATGAAAAATAAATATTTTTCTTTATGCTGCAGCTTAATTTTTTTCTTTTTTTATTGATCTCATTTAACCCCGGCATTACAGTCATTAGCTGTAGATAGCAACAGTAGGTTATTTTTTTGTGCAAGGTTTGTTTGTAAAGTTTGATTAGTACGGTTGGAACATATGTGTGTATGTGCGTGCATCAGGGATTCGTCACTAAGAACTTGGATGGTCACCTTTTCGAGAACTAGCAACGCCGGCCAATGCTTGACTTTAGAACACATTAGTGACTGAGGTCAACCACTGTGTCACACCAGGCCATCAACTTAATTTGAGAAATTAATTACATAGGTAATTTTTTTATTTGTGTTTTATAACTTATGTGAAACCATAAATTAAATTTCACCTAAAGTAGTGATTTTCCTATGCTAATATTTTTAAAATAATTTTAAGAATATTAAACCAGAAAATTTACATTAATTTAAGTAAAAATTGATCAAAATCCTCAACAGCCCAGAAAAAATTCTAATAGTTTAATTTACAATAAGAAGAAATCTTGGCATCAATCATTTTTTGTCTTTAATGGTCAAGCTATGCTTGCCCATTACTCTAACTTAGTCTACCAACTACCATCTATATGCCAGGTTATATAGTGAAGCCTTATTCCTGCATACAAGTTGGTAACTTCTTATTGTAAACAAAGTAGGTATAGTATATTATAAAATACTTAAAAAATAAAAAAAATAATCATAAGTGTTATAATTTTTTTAGATAACAACCAACTACATAAATCAGTGAAATATTAATATGTTTAACTTTTGAAACATATTATTCTATTTAAAATAGAGCATAAAAATGTACACACATTATTTCTAATTAAATACCTAATTTTATATTCTAAGTACTTACAGACAAAAAAAATTGAATAATCCAATGAAGAGTTCTGTATGTGTACTGCATGAAATCATGCGACATTCCAACCGAAAACCAGCTAACCATTTAATAAATGACATTTCCACCAACGTTTCTTGACAATCCACATACTTAGGAAATTTGTTTGAACTTATATGTGTGTTCTTAGTATTTTCATCGATATCCAAATCAACTACAATAATAAAAAAATTATAATACATATAATTAAAAATGTAATATATAAAATTGCATTGTATGCATTTATAGAGTTAAACAATGCATTTTTAAGAAATAGGTATATCACAAGTAACTGTTTTAAGACAATAAATCATGATTTCACAAAAACATAAAGTTAAATTATCGTAAACAGAATATTTTTTTTCTCATAAATATAATAAATTTATTGGTATCCATTAGTATAAAATACCCAATAGTTACTGTTATAGTATGTATACAAAAAAATAATAATTTAACTAATTGGTGTTTTTTTCCAATAATACATTCTTAGTTAATTTTATTTTTAAAATGTCTAGATACTATACTAGTTAAATATTTTTTTTCATTTTAACTGTCATAAAATGTATTCTTGAAATATAATATTATATGTTTATACATTGAAATTGTTCATAGATGCAAATTAAATTAAGTTTACTCTAGTAACCAATACTTTTCTTGGATGTAAAATATTTAAGTTTATAACTGTTATTCATTTTTTATTGATTTTAAAAAAGTAAGTCAAAGTTTGATTATACACATAATTGATAATCATTTAATACAATGAAAATTTTATCACAAAATTTTGAAATCGCAGATTGAAAAAAAAAATAGAACAAAATGTTATGCTGTAATAACTTTTAAAATGTTGATCAGAAAACCACAATAATGATATATAATTGAAATATAATGCTAAACAGTAGATAACTTACAATTATTATTAATATAAAATAAAATAATAAAAAATACTAGATAAATACCAAGTTATTAATAAATGCATAACTGTGGCATACTTAGTTAAAGGTTTTATAACAAATCTACAATCTACCATAAATATTCTGAAGACCTTAACATGTTTACTGTGAATGACACTATTTGGAGCCATCTATATTGTTATTAAATGCAAAAGATTTGGTCAGAGTTATGATTAAACTATTGATTTTAGGTTGACATCCACAACAAATATTATTTTATGAGTGTGTGCAAATCATTGATATTTTTATTTTTTAAATTCTAATTTTTTTTAGTATTACAACCAATATAGATACTCAAATATATACACTTAACATATTAAAAAATCATAATTAGGATTTCAAAGTTGTAGGAGTAAAATACTTTTTTTATGCTCTTGATTTATAACAGAGCTAGCTAAAATCCATTTAATACTACAATGACATATTTTCCATTTTTTTAATCTTTGTATAAAAAATGTATAATTTTATAAGTACATATTTATTTTTAAGTTTTCTAAAAATACTGATGTTTCTCCTTCATAACTTGTATTTTATTATAAAATTTTCCAAATATAGAAAATATATTTCATAAATACTATTCAGGAACTGATAATATATTTCCAGTGCAATAATTAACAATGTCAACTGGCAACCAATTATCCACAAATAAGATCTTTCTTTCTTTTTAATTTTTAAATTACTTGATAAAACAATTTTAGTATAGTTATATCAGAGGTCAACAAATAAAGTCTATGGCAGTCTAGATAAGTTAAAAAAACTTTAATACCTAATAGTTAATAATTATTGAGTTATTATGACTATTATCGTAAACAGCGATAAACAATGAATGCCATTACAATCTTTAAATCACAAAAATTTATCAAATATCTATTATGTGCGGAAAACCAGCAATAAAAAAAAGATACTTTTGTTTCCCCTCCATAGGCCGGATTTAGTCCGCGAGCCACCTATTGCCGACCCTTGATTTATTTATGCTAATAATATAACAATTTAAATTAATAATATTTAAATAGATACATAATGTATGCAGTAAAATAAGTATACATTTATTTTGCTTCTACTTCTATAACTTTCAAGCTCTAATCAAAATACATAATTTATTTTGTTTACTATTCTTTTTTCTGAATGATCATTTTGAAAAACAAAAAACCTAAATTAATTTATTTTATTTTAATAAATTATTATTAGATAAAAGGTAGGTATATGTATGTATATATTTAATAATATAGAATAGAGTTTATGTAAGCAAACTATCATTGCACTGAATTACAAAAAGAACAATTTGGTACAGAAATTGAAATTTTTGAATTTGGTTAGTAATAAGGTGAAATCTGACACAAAAAAAAAAAAAAAAAATTTTCAATACTTAAAATACAAGGGGAAATAACAAATTTAGATTACTTTTATTAACAATAACATACATTGTAATACTATAAATACATTTAATATTTATTACCTACATTTTGATCTTAAAAATTTGTTTTTTGTATACATTCAAATAAATCAGTACATTTATTCATAATTAATTGTCTATACATTGAATTTACAATACTTTATTAACATTACATTAGAAAGATGTAAAACTGTAATTTTTTTTTTAATATTAATATATATATTATTAGGTATACCCTTATGATTTTCTGGAGAAAATGGATTTACTGAAAAATGTTCAGATACTATTTAATATCAGTTATAATCTTACCTAATCAAGTAAAATGAAATTTTAAATGGTCAATACTACAGCTTCCAATATAGTTTCTATCAATTTAAAAAAAAACAATCATAAATCTAGCATTCGCCTAGGTAAATAGCCTCGTAAATAGCTTAAACATATAATACATAATTGAATATGTTATAATTGCAAAAGAAATTTCTAAAACTGAATAATTTTAAACAGTAACTTCCTAATACTTTATATGGAAACCAAATAAGTATTTTTGTTTTGTTTAAACTATGTTACTAAGTTTAATTTTAAATTAATGAAGCATTACTCTAAGTTAATTTCAAATCTCACTTAATAAAAACAAACTCTAAATTGTTCATAACCCTTAAATCAATATGACATTATGAATGGTTAATTTAAAAATACTAGTTTTCGTCAATTGATCACTATTAAAATCTTCTTTAGTTCATTATTAAATTAGCCTTGGAAATAGACTTATAGAAGATAACATAATAATATATTATATTATTTCTGAATTATCCTTATAAAAAAATTAATATTATTTAAAACCAGAAATACAGTTACTATAGTTTTTATAAACATTTTAAAAACTGAAAAACTTCAAAATTGAACACCAAGGTTTTAAAAATAGCTTGGTACCTCATTGTTAGTTTTGAAATTATGACATTTTGTTCATTAGTTACCATTTTAGGTAGACAGATAACTTAAACACGTATAACTACTTAACTTTCGGATAAATGGGTAACCTATAATAGTTGTAACTTTGCCATTAAATGATAAGTAGTATTTTTCAATAGTCACTGGCTTTAGTTACTAAACTTGAGGCTCTACACACTTTCATTAGGTGGAGGTTCAACCATTAAGCCCTCTCACGTGTGGAAATAGCTAACATTAATGGGCTAATATAAATCATATCCTAATCGTTAAATTTTATAATAATTTAACTTTGGAAATATGTATACTCAATTTGAACTAAAATGTTGTAGTGAACTAAAATTTTTACTTATACTTAAAAAAAAACTTGTTTCCTACCAAACAATTATTTTAATAACAATAAAAAGTGTACCTAAAGTATATATATATTTTTTTTTTTTTTGGAACTTTCTATCATTTTGAAAAGTAGGCACTGAGAATTTTTAATTAAGACTTTTTTAAGTACAAACTAGATCAAATATACTATCATTACTACCATCAAAGTTAAAAATTGAACCATTTATCTAATATTAGGTAAGTGTTTTCAAACAAAAATTTTAAAAAATTATATTAAAATCAATACATTTATCATTTAGTTTAAAATCTAAAATTAAAAAAATTGATTGATACCTAGCTTAACTGCAGTTATGCTGAAAAAAAAATAAAAGTTAAAATGGTGAAATAAATTAATTTTAAATTTTTACAGATTCACAGATTCCAACAAATAATACAAACACAACGTAGTACAATTAGAATGCCATCCCAGATTAGATAAGTGTAAAATTAAATGAACATAAAAAGTGTTAAATGAGTAACAACAAATTATTAAATAAATAGGTTTACTATTATACTTTATTTATTTGATAGATAAATAAACACTTCATGATTTTTTCTATAGGGATGTTATGTGACACTTGATCACCAAAGCATTTAAATTCTTGACACTCAAGAATTGTTTTTAACTCTCTATCAAATACAAAACAACTGCAATATTATTTTATTTGATAAAAAAATATTTTGAAAATAGATTTATAATTAATAATTGTGAGCCACTAGAAATGTTTTTACATAAAAACCAGCTGCGCATTATGCCTATATTCTAAAATCTATTTATATAAATTAAGCTATACATATGGAATTTAGTCAATAGTTTTATTTTTTTTTTTTTTTATGTAAAGATTCACTAAGAAAGGATTTTTCAAAATGTATCACCAAATGAGCTAAAAGATGTAATGGGATAAAAATGAAAAATGTTATTTCTTGGCCAGCCTTTTTTTAAACTTAAAAGTACATACTTTGTAATCAAATAATCAAATATCTTCTACCTTAAAAATATATGTAGCTTATATTTAACAAAGTTTAAGGATGTGTAAATTCATGATCAATACAGTGCAAAATCAGCTAGTCACTAAGATGTTCACAAAGAAGTTAAAAACTACAACTCACTATTTAGTAGAACAAAGTCTTATTTTTTCAAAAAAGCCTTAGTCATCTGTACATTTTACTTCAATAATTATAAAATAGCATAAAGAAACTTATTTGTTAATAGCAGTTAAGAAAAAATTAAAATCAAAAACTTTTTTAATTAATTAAATTACTGTCATTGTATTTGCAAGCCAGTTGTATCAAGATTAAATGATTGAATTATGAATCAATTACTAAATTGAGTTATTTAAAAAAAAACAATAAGTTAATAATGATTTTCATAGTGAATTCTCAGTAGAAAAAGTAGAACACTTGTTAAGAATATTATTCTTAAATTTATTTAAGTGTTTTAAGTAAATAATTAAATGACTAATAAATAAATAAAATTTAGGTGTATACTCATCATAAGTTAAGAACATGACTGAGCAACAGCCAATTTGCATCAGTTATACGTACTAAACTTCTAATTAGTTTTCCAAACTCTCATCCACTATCTAAAATGATATAGAAGTTGTTTTGGATGCGTTACTGATCACACTCTTAGCATAAGGTAAGTATAGGTATGTTGCACATGCAAAATCAGACTTAAAAATTGATACAATGGTACCTAATACTATTTAATTATGATTATAAGTACACTGTTAATAATCTGCTAAAATATATCCATATAATTAATATGATACCTATGTTGATCAATAAAATAAAAACATAGTTCCATTCTACCTAAAAACTATATATTATAGGTCTTTAAGTTGCCAAATTTTGAAATCCCAAAATCAGGACATCATATTATGACCTTTTTATTTTTCTAATGTAACACTTATAGTATACTCGTATAGCGACAGATAAACCTAAAACCACACTGATTACATTTAATCATTTAGATAACATAATATAAGATAATAATATGATACAGTGGGCAATATTATTCTGTGTTTTATTATTATATAATACAATATTAAATTTTATTTTCTCTTAGTTTCTATTAACCAAGAGAAACTAAATGACAGACCAGGACCGTTAAAACTGGAACTAAAACCAAGACGAATGATAAGCCTACCTATAAACAATATCTGTGATTAAAAAATTGATATTTTAAGCTAATGTCAACAATCATCTTATACTAAATCATATTTTCTAGAAACTATTTTATAATAGGACATTTATATTTAATTTTAGAATATAATTAACTATTTAATACCAGTGGTGAATTTTAAAGAAAGATCAATACTATTTGGTGTTTGACCTAAAGCTTAAAAAAAGATGGTTAGTAAATATAAGATTGATATAAACATTATATTTAAATTATTATGCTAACCTCAATTCTAACACTTACAAATTAAACCATTATGGTCTAATTAGGTATTGCTAATAAGGTACTTTTCGGTTATCACGACTACCTAGCAAGACGTATTGAGTGGTGGTTATTATTAACATTGGTGTGGAGATTTGTTTTAGATAAGTAACATGAGTAATATGTTTTACTTGACATTTGCCAACACAGTTAATGTTAGACTATTGTCATGTCATATTATTACAATTTAGTTGAATAAACCTTTGCCCAAACGGTCTATTACTTTGTACTTGTTTTATTTGAACTAATAAGCTTAGATTTACTTGTTAAGTCAACTGGCTGCCCTAAGAGCAGATATACTCTCCCCTCGCAACACTAAAGGTTCGTTCCTCGCCTCTCCCCCAGGTTAACTATTTTGGTGCCAGGAAGTTTGGGGGCTGAGCCTCCATCAAAAAAGAGGTCTGGAGAATCTCGAGTCTGGCAACCAGAGCTGGCAGACAAAGGGAGTCATTATAAAAAGTACTTATATTACTCATAAATTAGTGAAAAAATAAGACATCAATATTCTTGATAGGCACAATAGACTAGAAAGTGATGCGTGAATGCCAAATTGCTAACTTCCAAAGGCCATAACTTCAAAACTAATTCTGAACAAAAAATTCTGATTGCACCATTGTTCTTAAATAGTTTACATAAGTTTAAACAAAAAAAAAATCAAAAAATTTACATAGGTTGGTAATAATAATCACAATTCAATATGTCTCGCTAGGTAATCATGATAACTGATAAGTACCGTTATCAATATTAACATATATATTAATTTTATTAATTACAAACTAAAGCAATGAACATAAAATTAACTTTCTAATCATTTTAAATAGTGTCAAAATATCTTTCCTATTTATGTGATGAAAAACTATCAACATAATAAAGGAATGATTTTAAACTCAGTAACAAGTTTAGGTTTCATTTACTTAAATTTTTTACAATCAATTTACGTAATTACAACCAACAAGTTTAATATTTTTCATAAAACAGTACCTATCACATTACCTACAATTAGATAATTTATAATAATTTATTTCATTTATTTTGAAGATAACAATTTTTTTTTTTTTTTAATGCTTACCAGAATGGTGACTATTAAAAGCCTAGTATTATAATAATGTAGGTAGATACCCAGTAGTGTTCCCATAGGGTATACTACATATACGCCGTATACTCTCAAGCTTTTTCTAAAATATCATGGTTATACTACATATACTCTCAAACAAACCATACAAAAAGAAAAAAGAAAAACTTAAAAGTATAGTATAATGTTTTTCTAATCCGTCACGCGACGCTCAATAACGACACTACGACAGTAACAATAGTCACGGGCATCTAGTTGATTAATACGTCGACAAATAAACGTTATTGGTGGTATTTCCCATAATCGTTGTCGTCGTTGTCAGTATACGACGATAATAATAAAAAATAACACCAATTACAAATTTTTATTAATTTACAAAACAATTTTTTATCAATTTATTTAAATAATTCATTTTTATAATTTTGTTTTGATTTATTAAAAATGTAATAGTAATTTTTTTGGTTATTAATTAAACCTCTCCACCACTTTTATCGTAAAAAAAAATGAAATATCTATATTTTGGCATTCTTCAGCGTAGTATAGGTACTCTCATAAAAAATTATGAGAACATCACTGTAGATACCCACTAATATTATACCTAATTGTACCATTTATATTAAATAAAACAAAATGTTTTGAACTATATTTGGTTGAAAAATAAATTGAAAAATTATAGGATGTTAATTATATTAATACTCTTCTCAATATTAACACTTTTAAGCATTAGATATTATTATTTTGAGTAAAATTCAAGGTATACAATAATTACTTAAATATATCCAATTTAAAACATTAAAATAAGTAAAAAATTGTTCATTAAACAATTAATAATAAAACACTTATAATTAAAGTCCAAAATAAATAAATTTAAATAGATAGGCGGGTACATATTTCTAAGCAATGCATTAAAAAAAAAAATTACAAATTGTGAATACACATTCATACATTAATGTAATTTGAACATACAATTTGATTTTGTATGTTTTTACAAGTACTTTGATAGGTACTTATCTACTTAATTTATAGCATAAAAATACATAAGAAGATAATATTTAGATGCATTTTAATAATGTTTGAATCATAATTTAATTTGTTTCAAATTAAGATTATAATTAGGATTTTTAATTTTTTTTTTTTTTGTTATTTGACCTTGGTAAAAATTTGAACGACTTTCAAATATATATTTAAAAAGTTATAAAATATTTATTTATTTAAATACCTTTTTTCTTTTTTTAATAGTAAATCTTAAACACATACTTTATTTATGCATAGATAAAAAAATTATTAAATGCAAAACGAGTTATGAAATATTTATGGAACATTTCATTAAGACAAACAAATGTTATTTTATGTCAGTATAAAGATTATGCTATTTAGACAATACATTTTAAATTGATTCTTATTGCCCAATAAATTTAAAATAACAGCCCACTTGTCATTAATTAGGGCGAATGTTTCTGAGACTATCAACACATGTAAATTTAAGCAATAAAAATTGAAATATCATTATATTCACACATATGAATTCAGGGTCTGTGAAGCATTATTTTTAATATTTTCATGGCATATAAATTAAATGTCTATTTAATACCATTTACTTTCAATTATAACAAAAATATCCTGAGTACTAAAATATTTATATTGTAAATATAATTATTTCTAATGTTTATAATAAGGTAATAACCCCTGTAATAACTATTGAAAATATACCAAACTGATTATACTTACTATAGGTATTTCTTCTATTTTATTACATACTTATGACAAAATTGTTCAAAACAAATGTAAAAATAAACTTATGATTTCAATTTAAATTGTTAAAATAATTACCCGGGTAGTGGTTATAAAATCAAAACCTTACCTGGGCCTACGAAGAATGAATTATTTTTTAGGACTTCAGTCCTCCTAAATTTCAGCCCTTAGTTGCACCACTGAAAATATTACTTATCTAGTTATCTACATATCTACTAATGGTAAATACTATAACTATGATTGACAAATAAACAGCTACATCAAAATTAAAATGTCACGATGTTATTTTTATTTTTAATTAATAAATTATTTAAAGTAATTAAGTTTTCATTTCTAAATGTTTATCAACAAGATAACAATAAAGAATAATTATTGTTGATCAATTGACAGACACTTAAGCACAATTTATATTAGGTATAAATTATCAAAATAATACAGTACCAAAGTCCATAGCATATTTTATACTAGGCACTGTTTCTTAAGGACACAAACAAAAAATGTTAAAATGCATGTCTAATGTCAAACAATCATTCACCATAATTAGCTTTAAATGAACAGAACTGCTCTACTGAGACCATGTGTATATTGATAATTCTCAGCAAGCAGTACCAAAAAAAATAGAACAATGGTTGACTATAAAAGTGAAACAACAATAAATAAATGGGTAGGTACTTCAAAAGAAATTTGAGGCAATAAACTATATATATATTACTTTGTAAAATTTATAGTGGGACTTCCACCAGGATTGTTCTCAGTAAATACAATAAGTAAAATAATAATTTTTTTTTAATATACATACCCAAGTAATACCTACCTATATTATGAATATATATGCCTGATATAGAAATTTAATAAGACAGTAAAAATGGTAGTTTTTACAAAATAATTCCTTAACTAGGTAAAACCAAAAGGTATGAGTGCATATATACAATATACAATAAGTATTGATAAATAAAACATTAAACGTTACACGATAGAATGTTTAAGCACAAGTGTACAACACGAACAAGTTATAAAACTATGCTTGTGCAGCATCATCAGTAGACGTAGAACAGATGTATTCACTGAGAAACCACCTAGACAACTGTACAGTTCAGCGTCTGGCATGACATATTGTCAATAAAACTTTAGCCAACCAGGAGTAACGGTGAAATCATGTTTTCATAGACTGAGCATAACATAAAAAACACTTACCTGTTTCACTGTGAATCCTCTTCCGACTACAATCAATCGTTGTCATGGGCTCGATGGTACCGATGGACATTGACGACGATGTAGATCCTTCTTCGTGTCGATGAACAGCCATTGCGTCTTCGGTGACGTGCGCAACACCACTCTTTAATGGATACTAGTAGTGGATGTCAACAGCATTTGTTCGCTGTGCAAACGAACGATCAGGGCTCGGCAACAAGCTGTAGCAGCGGTCAACGTCGCTGGTGAAGAATATTGTCTCTGACTGACTGTCTATCCGACTGAGCACAACCTATCGGTACGTGCGCAGAACAGTCATTGCTCGCTATTAGTCTCCGTCACTCCGGGTCGCTTATGAAGTAATGGCCGACGAATTGCTGCTGCTGCTGCGGCGGCGGCGGTGGCGGCGGTGGCGGCGGCGGAACAGTGGACATTGGGGTCCAACGTGCGCGGCGACTAACAATTATTGTTTCGGCGCACGACGGCGGCAGCGACGGCGACAATTCGCTCCATCGCAAACTAATAAGACCGAAACGTTCTGTTTTACCGAAAAGGCGAACAAGAACAATAGTAAAAACTAATAATAATAATAACAGCCAGCGACATCGGGGGACGGGACACCACTTATACCAGAACCAGACGTACGTATAAAGATATCAGATATACCATGAACACAAATATATATATACATATACAAGCAATAACGTGATAGTGTATATGCTCGTTTTTACATATATATATATATATATATGTATACAAATCGCGAACGCGCCCTCTACAATATGCGTGTGTGCAAGAACATTTATATAATAATAATAAAGTGTATACTTCTTAGTGAACCTCAAGTATTTGCATGTGTGTGTGTGTGTGTGTGTAAATGAACATTATTTTTCCAAGGCACTACGGTCGTATCGAATACAGACGCGCACGCACACGCAAACACTGTCAAACACGGCGCTAGTGCGCTACGGTCCTACTACTCCTACTACGTATACGAGCAGTCGACGGTTGTCGTCGGTGGGGGCGAAAAATATCTCGATCGTACATGCGCAGTGCAGCCTCAGCAGGAATCAGCTGTTGCCAATGGCAACAGCGAATGGCGTTACTCCGCTGCACGACGTCACACTGCTCTTTCGATAAACGCGCGAGGTTGATTTGATATTTATTGTTATTATTATTATTATTATTAATAATATGATTATTATTATTGTTACAGTCCCTGGGACATAAAAATAAAAATAAATATATACCATACAATATTATATCGAAAAACATTCTCGATAACGAAGGGGATGGTTCTGGGAATTGTGTTCGTTATCGAGCGGCGGAGGCAGTGGCGGCTTATTTGACACAACGTCGTCTCCGTTACTTGGCGGCGCCGAATACCGATCGTTATCCTCGAATATAATATTTATTTTTATTGACAACATACGCCTCTGCCGAAATAGAGATACAATTTTTGGTTTCCAAGCTTAGCAATTAATGTATTTATATTGGATTTTACGATAATAATGGATTTTTTTGTGTGTTATCGTATTTTGGAACACTAAAAATGCTCCAATCTTAAACTTTAAAAGTAGTTTCAAGTTCTACCAAATTGGATATAGTGTTGGTTCTTTGATCACTTCGAGTAGTCAAAATTTTTAGTATTTATACTAAATACTTAAAATAATTAGAAGAAACTATAAAAAATAAAGGAATATTTACTCAATTACAGTTTTTTTTAAAGTGAATAACTCTATATAAGACTACATAATTTTTAAATATTTTATCATATTGAATCATTTTAAACTTTTTGAAGTTGTCTAACTATTGTATTTAATCGAACGGATTATGATAAAACATGTAATTTCTAAGTTAAAAGCTTTAAAAAATCCATATAATTATAACGTTATTATGTTTCTCGTGTTTTGCTTTATTATAGAAGCAATCCAAAAATATCAGATACCTACAATATAAACACAACTTTTTTTTCAAAAAATATAAATAATAGAAACTTGAAACATTTCATTATTAAAATTTATCATTATCTATAATATATACAAACAATGAGGATTTTAAAATATTTAGACTAATTTTATACTGTTTGTTATTGACATTTTCAGAGTTTTATTTTTATAAATGTTTTTATGCTTTGAATTTTTCAGATAAAAGATTTGTAACTTAAAGGTTCTTTTTAAGTTAATCTAATAAAGATTTTGAAATATCGATAATACATAACTATAATTTTTTTTATGGCTGTTTACATTTTGAAAAATGTGTTAAACGCAAGAAAATAATTCACGAATAAGTTTGTTTATTTAAAATATATTAGTTATTAAATAATCAATTTTTCTAGCCAAAACTAGAAAATTGTATACAAAGTTTCTCGTAAGTTTTAACAACTATATCTAAAGTATCAATACATAATAAATATAAGCATTTTTTTTTTTGACATTTGAAGTACTAAATACTTGATAAAATTGATTATATTTAAAATACTAAAAAATAATCTTTCCTTTAATAAACAGTTTTAGTTGATTTAATATATAATAAATTTAATAATGTGATAACGATAAAAAATACTACCTAGTTACCTGCAAGCAAGCAACCGAATAACATAAGAATATTAAATTTTCAAATAATAAATTTATATTAAGCTATTTTATTAAATTATATTGGATGTTGATACATCATTAGTACTGTAATAGATAGTACTGTATTAGTCTTACACCATGACATTCGTGTATGAAGTTTTCTTTATTTATATACCTGCTCAAACTTTTACAAAATATAGCTTTTAAACAATATATAATATATACAATATAAATATAAGTACATATTACCTTGCTACACTAAACGTTAATCTCATTTCTTATAGGATTTAATAAGCAGATAAGTAGGTTCCTATAAGTATCTACCTAAATTTCCGAACCCTAAATTTATGCATTTTATACATCATACTTATAACGGGTATGACTGTTTTTGACCAAGATCGTAACCTTTTCTTTTCGGCCGATTCATTTATCGACTAAAACAAAATTTTATATAATATATGTAAAAAAATAAAATATTTGATATATAATTTTCGTAAAATTAGAACAAAAAAATAAGATATAATTATATAACTTTGAAAATGATTAAAAGTATAAAATGCATAAAATGTAGAAAATTATTTAAAATTTAAGAATATTAATATGCTAACTTTATTTTTATATATTAATATGTCACAGTATGTAATATGTATAATATTATATAAAAAAAAAATAAAATTTCAGAACAAGACAAGGTAGATGTGAATACTTTTTAAATAAATGGAAGTATTAAGATGACCATTCGTGCGATTATGAATAGATTAAGCAATCAATGAATTGCACATAATGATGGAGTATCCAGAAATACTTTATTCGCAAGGTCTAGCTGGTATCCACAACATCACACCAGAAACTATAGAATGGATCAAATTACTAAACATAAATTTATGATTAATAAGTTATAACATTTAATGTAAATTTTAATTTTAAGTCAAAATGTGACATTTATTGTGATAACTGTGATTTTTATTTGTGATATTATTATTAAAATATTATGCATGATATGTGTTTTCAGTTTTGTTAGTATGGCATACGAAATAAATAAATACATTGCTCATTGTTGTATTTATGTTTTCTTCAAAACGTTTTAAAAGATACCTACCATTAACAAATATGTTATTTTCACTTTTTGGAACATTTGCAGACTACGATCAATAAAACTTGTACGTTAACAACAGCTAACCGAAAACACTATATGTATACAATAATATACCACCTACCTATTTATAATATAGTATATGCATACAACGATCTATGATTTTTCTTAGTAAGTACGTATTACATGTATAATTTAGTCAAACACTTCCACATTATACTTTTTTTATGTTTAGATTGATAAAATATTCAAATAAAATAAAAATAAATTTCCGTTTTATAGCTAAGTTTTTAATTAAACGACAAAGGTTTTTTGGGCACATTCCTTAGTGTTCATACATTGATACATGTATACTATTATATGTTTATGTAGGTAGTTTATACATATATGAACTGTTTCTTTTTCATTTAAACATGTAATTTTTCATAATGTTATAAAAATAATTTGCTTTAAGTAATCAAACCAAATATGTATATAACGCTTTATAGTAAATATTAAATATTTACGTATTTTTATTTTATGCTTCGCTAACAATATGTGGGTCTGGTTAACAATTATAACTATAGGTACGTAATATCTAATTATTTATTTAAAATTGAATATATAGGCGTATTAAAAAAAAAAAAACTATTAATCTTAAATTATAATTTGAATTAACTTTTTTTTAAATTATAGGTACTTGTAATATTAGAACTATAATACAATTTAATATTAAAACATTTAAAACATTTAAAACCATAAAAGAGAACATTTTAACTACTCTTATTTTTTGAATTAATGCATATTCGATGGTATTAAAACATGACCTTATCAAAGTATTAAATATTTAAATACCTATTAACCATTAATATAAAAATAACTATATTATTACTTATAGTTTATATCCATATGTATTAAGAGATACCTAAATGGCTAAATAGTAAGTTTTATTTTTATGATACTTATTTATCACTAAAAACCTAACTTATCCTTCATTTTTTACGTTAAAATATTATAAATTCAACAAATAATTTTTTTATTTAATTAAGAAATCTTAAAAAAAATTAAACGATAAATAATGAACATTTTCGCTTATTGTTTAAAACTTAAATATTTATAAAGTTCGATCTAAGAAAATCATTATGTTAATTATTGTTAACTTTTATTTTGAGGTCATAATTCAACTTGATAAAATAATAATTTGAATACTATTTTATCAGCATGTAGCCTTATATTAATAAATATATTTTCAGATAAATATTTTATATACCTATAATATTATGTATAGTAAAATAAAAACAAGTAATGATAAAGAGCCAGTAGGTATTGTATTAAAATTACAAATTGTTTTAAAAGAAACGTAATAAAGCAGTTTAATATTTTTAAAATATTTCATAAAATTATGAAAAATTATTTTGTAAACTAAATATTCAATCTTATAACCTATCTTAAAAATGGATACGTTTATTTCTTAAAAATTTTAACAACTTTTTTTTTAAAGGGTTTTGAGTATATAATTTTGAGTTTTTCTAAATAATTTCTTATAATCATATACTATTCCTTTTTTTTTTAAACTAAATAAACACATGCCTACTTATTAGTTAAATTTATCTACCTACAACTTAATAATAAATTATACTTATTTAGTAAATATAGTGCAGTTTGGCTTACGTTATAATTTATATAAAGGTGCTTATTCATATCATAAATTCATAATAATGAATTCAAATTATTGATATTCATTAAAAAAATAAAATTGTGATGTATTTATATTATACGAATAACGTATGTCAGTATTGAGTGTTGACAGTCAAATATTTGAATAATCGAACTCTATATTATTTAGAGTTCTAGACTGTTATTCAAAGTTCGCAGAATATGTCAATATAATGTAATATACTTATTATATATTATATACGCAATGCGTATATCTACCTAAATATAGTACCTACCTACACCCTCAAAACCGAACCAAATGGCACAACCCTAAGTTAAACAAACATAGCTATAGTGTTGTAAAATCAATACTTATACAGAATAGTATATATATATATATATTTAGCAACATGAGATCATTCGGGAAAAATAATTATATTTGTAAAATTAGGCGATTCAATTAATAATGTAATCATGTAAGTACCTTCGGTGTTTTAGTTTCATTATAATTTAACAAAACTGTTTTACTAAATTATCTCAGATTTTTTATAAACGCGCTTATATTTAACTCGAGTGGTCTTGTAATAATTTTAACTTTATCTTACTTTTGATAATGGAATTTTACTGTTTAATGCGGTGTTTATAAAATATGAATATAATAGACAATATAGCTTGTAATACTTTAATACCAGCGTAATAAATGATAATCGTTGAACATTGCTATTTGCTTGGTATATAT